CCATAGCAATATGGCTCGTCACTAGGCTGCAGACAGCTGAAATCACACTTACCATCAGGCAATTTTAAGGCAGCGCAGACAAGACTGGGTGAGATCTACCTCTCTTAAATCCTAACTATTTTCTTTACCTGCATAAGCTGCCTTAAGTACTTTCCCCCCCTGTGGAGAGGGAAGGGAAACAACAGCGACTGACTATCCAGGGGTGTTTAAAACACTGAAAGAATAACTTGATCTTAATTGGAATTCTATTTTTTAAAGTTTGTGAACTAAAAGATCTTCTATGCTTATTGAAGATTGGAGTTTTTACTTAAAAGAAAGAAGCAAAACTGAAAAGATTATAAAAACTTCGGATTCAAAAGAAAACTTTTAAGGGTAGGGGGAACATCTTGTGGCTAAACCTGATACTACAATTTGTTATTGTCTAAAAGAGACTGGATCAGCAGCCCAGACAAATAGATAAGACTTATGCAATCTTGAGAGAAGTCCAGCTGTGTTCCTTATTCAGTGACAAAATCTTTTTTTTTTTTTTTTGCATTCTCTGGTTGTCTTTTAACCTAATACATTACTAAGAAAATATGGATGAAGTTCAAGAACAGATTCTCTCTATGTTAAAAGCAATTCATCAAACTATTCTTACAGTTACTGATGTAATAAGAGGTTACAATAAAGAACAAGATGTCAGCCCAGATATACAAACTCAAACTTTGATTATATCTGAAAAATCAACTACACAGAATATAACAGAAAAGGTGGAATAATTAAAGATTATGACAGAAGATTCAACTGATCAACAAATACAGTCAATGGAAAACCCAGAAGAGGGACTGAAAATATGGAAAAAGGAAAAGACTTTCTACATAAATCAGAAAGAACCTGAGGATCAAGAAGAAGAACAGATTGAAGAGAAGATAAACAGTTCAGGACAACTACATCAAGATGGAAAAATAAAGAGACAATTTGTTAGTCCTCTCAAAAAAATGGCGACCAGATGATTTTTTTCTACATCAAATAATCTATATAACAATACAGGAAGATTTGTTTGATGACTCTAAAGCATGGACATGGAAGACGATTTGGCAAAGAAAGAAAGCTAGAATAAGACTAAAGAAAATTGGGGTTTTGACTAACTTGTGCGAATTAAAATAGAATATACCCAAATAGATAAGACGTGTACTTTGAAATATTAGACATTGTTATGAGATGAGATAAAGAAAACTTTGGTTATTTATAACTTAGAAGTATAAATATTAATAGTTAAATCTGAACATTGATTTGCTTATAAAGGTTAAATGTAAAGGTAATTAAGATATATAAAAGCTAAAAACCAATTGATGAATGTAATAAATATTTTTACCTAGCAGTAATAGTAATTATTAGCTTAAATATGAGATAGTAGATATTAAGAGAAAAAGACAAGAAGTATTAAATGTTGAAATAGGAGGAATTTTGGTTACTAAATTTAAGATATATGGAAATTACCAGAAAATAAGAATATTATATTGTATTACTAATTAGATGATGTAAGATGGTGAGAACTCAAATAGATAAGACGTGTATTCTGAACATTAGATCTTGTGATGAATTGTGATAAAGAGAATTGGGGTTATTTAAAATTTGGAAATTATAAATATCAAACATGAAATATAAATATTAATGGGAAACCAAAAATTGGAAAAAATTAATCAGGACATTGATTGTCTAAAAAGATTGAATGTTAAAACAACTAGGATATGTATAAACTAAAAATTATTGATAAATGCAAGAAAGTTATTTTTTATTTAATTCATATAATAAGAATTGTACTAATTTAAAGATGAGAGTAAATACTAAGGGGAAAAGAGGGGGAACATTTAATGTAATAGTTTGAGATCAGTACTAAAGATATTTTTATGTTCAGCCACTACGTTGCTTTTCCAATACTTAAATGTAAAACTAGAAAACCAATAAAATTTTCTTTAAAAAAAGAAAAGAAAAGAAAGAAAGCCATGGTTACAATTAAGAATTTAAGTATTTTTTTCTAAATTTCAATGACAGCAGAGCAAAAGTAGCAACTTGATTGCTGACAGTTGGGAATGCATCTGCAAGAAGAGAATTCAGTTTGTTGAGGCCCTTGAGTTCACTTAACCATTAATAATTTGGTCCTGAGCTCATTGTAAATGGAGTAATGGTAGACATAATGGATAATGTCCCCAACTTGGCCAACTACAGAGAAGTTGTTAGACAAAGAGCTTACAAAGTCTCCCTTTGTGATATGCGGTGGACATGCAGGTGAAGGGATGTTAAAGCTCTTCTCAGTGAAACACTGGTTATGATCATGAGGTGTAGATATATTTTGTATAGTGATGGTACCAAGATGAAAAGTTGGATGAAACCTAATATTTTCTGTTCCAAGAGTTAAGTTGAGTTTAGGACTCATCTGAGATGGTATCTAACCTTGGAGATGCCATCAAGATTATGGTATTTCACAGAGGACGGTCTTGTAAAGCCAAAAGGATCAGAACAAAGGGTAGTTGATCTCTGTTCTGCTGTGGACATTAAAAGAGTCCATTGAAAGGAATACAGGAGAAATCAATCGATGACACCTGGCTCTGAATGAGCTGTGGACTAAATTGTGTCTTCCTAATATAGATGATAACTTTGCCACTTCTGATGTTATAGTCACCAGCCCAGAGGAGATTAGTATTTGGTAATAGTTGCTCCGCAAGGGTTTGCAGGGAAGACCACAGCTTAAACCACAGGTTGAGATTCCATCCTGTTGGAAAATAAATGTTAATACAAATAATTAATCCAAAATATTTGCTCTCTGTCTGGACTACCTGGATATAATCACCGTCTGCCCTTTTTTGTATTGTTCCTTTCAGATCAGCTGAGATCAAAATTGAAAACCCACTTTCTCTTCCATGCAGATACACTTTAGTGACAGGGAAGGTATATGAGAAGAATCCAGGCAAGGAAGAAGAAATATCCAGGCACCAAGTCTCCTGTAATGAAATGATATTAATTTTTATAGGTGCTGTTCAAAACAGGCATCCACTAATTTTTTGTGTCACCCAGAAATCTCAAGAGATAGCTTTTATGTAACCTGGAGCCTTAGAAGTGGCATTGGCAGCATTTGAAACATTATGTTCTTGTCTAGGTGCAAGAAGATGTATTAAACTGCTGTTATATTGAAGTCATCAGAACGGAACAGGCAGAAACTTTGGACTAATATCAATTAATTTGCTATTTCTAGGCCTGACTGGACTTGCAAGCTAGTGGTTTTGATTAGGATATACTCTTGGAATAGCAATTTTCTTTGGTCCTCATTTCTGATCTAGGCCCTCAGATAGAACAGAAGGAAGCAGATTGTCATTATATGAAACAGAACTAGATGGAATAGCAATAGCACTTAGACTTATATACATTTTGTAGTGCTTTACAGCACTAAGTGGTTTACATATTGTCCCCAGCACTAAGTGGTTTACATATTGTCCCCAGCAATTTGGGTCCTCGTTTTACTGACCTCAGAAGGATGGAAGACTGAATCAACCTTGAGCAGGTCAGGATTGAATTCCTGACAGTGGGCAGAGTCAGCCTGCAATGCTGCATTCAGAGTATAAGGACTGCTTCAGAGTATAAGGACACGTGGACTTGCTGGGATGTGGGTTGTTTTCCTTCTTCGATGGAGTTGTTTGATTTCAGGATTCAAGTATTTCTTCTTCTTTGCAATTTGGTAAGGTTTCAAAATAGTTAATTAATCTTGCTTTTGGAACTTCATCTATGCCAATATTTTCTTGCATAATTTCAGTATGATTATTTGAGCATTGTCTTAGTCAAGGACACTAAAGATGCTGAGTTGCTGTGGTTCTTATCATTTGGCACACTGCCCAAGGCATGAGACAGGGAAGTCTCTGCTTGAGATGTTAGACCACAGAGTGCAGTCCTTTTTCCATCTCAGAAAACATGTAGTGGATATATCTGGATACGTAGTGGATATATGTAGCGGATATATCTGAAAAGCAGAAAGAAGAGATTTCATCCGGAGGAGCACTCAGGGTATGGTGGGAAGACAGGATTCTATTTGGGGCAGTCACCGGGACCAGAGTTTTGTCTGCTGGAGCCCATCTTCAGGGAACTCCACCCTGATCTACCATTCATAATAATTTGTTCTCTACAGGGAACGGTGGTCCTGCCTGCAATGGCAATAGCATTTAGACTTATGCACTGCTTCACAGTGCTTTACTTTCTAAGCGGTTTACATTGTCAGCATATGGCATATTGCCCCAGTTTGCAACAAGTTAAAGATCTTGTAAGTGGGAATTCTCAGGCATTCATCCTTGGCAGAATTCTTACAGGGAAGCCATGAAATGGGTGTGAATGTAGTAGGCAGATCCCCAATGATCCTCAATGTGGTTGACTCAGGATTCCACAGTTTTTTTTGCCAAGATGCGACTTTGTGAGTGCCAAAGCTAGTGCACATGTTTCTGCATATCCTCCAGCCATTTTGGCCAATCTGAGTTGATACTGCTATAGCTACCACTGAACAGTCCTAGTTGTTTCTGCCTCTTCTGATCAGGTCTCCCATTTAGGAGAAGAAGAGTCTTTGGATAGCAACTATTGTCACACTAGACAACTTATCTGGATAACCTGGGATGATATTCTCAGATTTCTCATCCTCTTCCTTAGGGTTCTTAAGAAGGATCTATGAGAGGGAGTGAAGTTCTTCCTTGAGACGTGCATTTGGGAACTTCCTGATTTGTCTTCACCATCAATCCAGCTGCCTTTGACTTAAATTCAGGGAATATACTTGCAGCACATTCTTAAACTCAGCAGGGTTTATGCAATTTTATGTCCCCAAACTAGACTGTGACTCAACTCACTTTTATCATGTCTCACATTTAGCCAATGTCACATAGTGAAGTCTGGAGAGTGGCTCAACATAGAAACTGAACAAAGCAATATATCCCCATTTGAATTTATTAATTTCTAATCCCTGCTATCTGCTTCCACTTTTTTCTTAGCTATACCAGTGGTGGCAGCACCAGTCGGAAGATTTTGCATTTTGTGGACAAGATTGCTAAATCCAAATACTTCCAGAAGGCCGCTGAAAATGAATTCATTAAGAAGAAGATGGAAGAGGTTGCCAACACTCCACTGCTTTTGACTGTGGAGGTCCAAGATCTGACGGGCACATTGGCTGTGAACATCCCTCCACCTCCAACGGATCGAATCTGGTAGGTGCCAAGGGAGCAGAAGTGGGGGGACTGACCTTCTGGTTGGGCCGAGCAAAGATGAGGCTGCATGAAATTTGGGCACTGTCCTAGAGAGGCCTCGTAGACTTGGAAAAAGAAATGGAGATTTTTTAGTAAACTGCCCCATCACCATATCCCTGGCAGCATCCAGGACAGCAGCAGGCAGAAGGAAAGTTCATAAATGGTTGAGATCGTCCTGGTAGCACTTCTTGTAAATTCTCCTGAGTTCTAGAATTCTAGGGCATGAATATGGTATCTACATATGGATTACGCAAAGTTGAAGCAACAGTTGCTGTCAAAGAACAGAACATTCAATTATATTTTTTCCACATCTACCTTTAATATTCTTTCCCAAAATAGAATTTGATTCCAGGAGTCTCCAGCCCTTGTGAAATGATTGGGTCCCTGTGCTAAGTCTGAACCTCAACTTATTTTCATTTTTGAGAATTTCAGAGACTAGTTAAATACGTCAAGATTGAAGAACTAGAGATCCTCTGGGTTTACTCAAATATAACCCTATTTATGTATTTATTTTGCAGGGATGGGAAAGATGTAGTCATCTTTAATTCAGTGTTTTCTATAAATATGGTACAATTCCTAGAAACTTTAGTCAGCAAGGCCAGTGTTGAGAGATGTTGGGAGTTGTAGTTCAACCACATCTGGACCACGAGTAAGACAGAAGTATAACAAGAGGCAGAGTGCTAGTTCTAAATAGATAGCTTTGGCCTTCTTTTTTTGAATTCCCATTAAGAACTAGAGAACCATTAATCCTGGTTTGCTGGGATATGATCCCCAGATGGAGCCTTGATTTAAGCAAGCAAAGAAGGATAAATGAGGTATTCTCTGTTCTCCCTGCCTACTGGAAAACATCCAACTTCCACCAGAAACGACAGAGGAAGTATAAGTATGCTTCAGAGGGAAACAAAGTAAAATCATTTTTGCCTCCCTGCCTCAGGTACAGTTTCCGGATCCCTCCACAGTTGGATCTGAAGGTACGGCCACAGCTAGGAGAATGGGAGGTCACCTTCCCCCACATCACTGAGTGGATTGAGAAGAAGCTCCAGCATGAATTCCAGGTACTTGATTGATGTAGCCAATGATGAAGGATTGGAAGGGATCTTAAGCTGAGCTCAGTTCAGCTCCCTTAAGGGATAAACCTGGGCAGTTCTGGCAGCTATAAGAGGTGTTGAGAGCCACCTGCTTAAGCGCATTTCAAAAGGAATCAAGCTGGAAGCAACTTAATATGTGGTGGTCAAACCTTGTTCCCCAGGAGGCTTTTAAAGTGCAAGACCCATTCCTCCCTGTTCCGTTTGGCAAGAGGTTTAGATGATATGGAAAGGTCCGTGGCTGGTCTTTTCCTCCACCTTTTTTAATTGCTGCAGGAAAGAAAAAGCAAATGAGCAGTGGTTTTGGACTGAATCCCAGTGACTGTTCATACAACATACATAATTGGCGTTCTGAATTAACCCATTTTCTGAGCCCACCCAATTTGTTAAACTGCGCAATGAGTCGGTTTGCAACATATTAAGCCATGCCCAAAGAAACAGGCAAATATAATCCTCATCAAGCTTATGTGTTGCGCATACACAGCATCTACATCTTTAATGGAGATGGTTAAAAAGTTGCTAGATGTGACCACTGGGCACAGTTATTCCTGGGAAAAGCAGAGAGAAGTTTCCCTGCTTTTCCTTAGTGCCTGATGTGATTCTTCAGTTCCAAGTCAGTTCAGGTTCTGCTCCTTTCTTTTCCCTGATCTTCCTACTTGTAACTTTACTTGCTTCCCCAGTATGAAGCTATCTTACCACGCACACTTCCACTAGCTACTTAATTAGTATTAATTATTAATTAACATTGCAATGCATCCATTGAAGGCATTAATTAACACTGAAAGTTGCCGTGTTTACTTCTGAATCAAGCTAGGGATGCATCCTGCCTGCCGAGTCTGCAGTTCTCTTCCTCTTTGCTTAATCTGGATCCTTTTAATTATTGTTTGCAGTAGTTAAGCTGAGCTCTCTTATGCACACTCAATAATAGAAAGATGAGAATGGAATAATTTAAATGAATAAACCAAACACAGTTTATTCTGCAGTTGAGAGGCCTGGAACTGTGTGTTGCAATAGCTGTCCTTGTTAGCTATAGTTGTGCATTCTCTGAAATGCTCAGTTCCCACCACATTGGCTTACGTTCTGCAGCCTCACCCTTGGTCTCACTGTAAGAGACTACAGGGCTTCACCAAACCTTCGATTTGCAAACCTCCAGGCAGATTTAATTTTAATTTTACACTCTTGCTTCCCATCAGAAAATTTTAGTGATGCCAAATATGGATGACATCATCTTACCTCTGATGCATTCTGGTTTGGAGTCCCATCCTCTCACAGAAGGACCACAGGAAGAACTTCCAGCTGAGGATGTCAGAAACATGTGAGGTGATGTCCTCTGGTAGCTGACCTGCTCTAGTCTCTTGAGGGAGCTAACCAGAGACCTGGTCACAGGGGAACCTGTGCCTGAGAACAAAGGTTCTCCTCCAAGTCTCCTGCTGGCCTCTCTTCTCTCTGGAACTGTTTTCAGATGAAGGAGATTTGTCTGGATGTGTCTTATTGCAGAAGGAAATACTCCAGATAGGAAAGAAAAGGCAGGAGATATGCCAAGACCCCTGGCTGCTTGGAATTTTCTCCATGTTGCATCTCTGCAAATAACTTTAGTTTTAAGTATCAGTTAAATGGCAGAACTATCAATAACATTGATCAGGGTCTGTGTGAAGGAAGAAATAAGAGCAAAAGACCCCTTCAGCTACTACAAAAGGGGTAACGCGCATGGGGGGGGGAGAAAAGCCAATTGGAGTTGAGAACTCCAAGACTCAAAACTGCTCAGCAATTCTCATTTTAGCCTTGAGGAAGGAAAGATGCTTGACTGACAGTTTTTTGGGGGGGAAAAGAGCGATGTTTCCTACCACACCATCTAGTCTCTTCACAGCCTCCCTGTTTCTTGGCTATTGGCAGCCTGAAAGCTGGGAACTGAAGCTTTGGTTTTAAACTCACTCTGACCCCAGCAGAGGCCGAAGGCTAAGAATACGGGTCAGGGGAGCCACCAACACTCCACAGTCCTGATCCAAAGGTCTCAAAGGAAACATGACCTAGTCTGAGTTTTAAAATGTGCTTCAGTTCAGAAACTCCTGGGGCCAGGAAGAAGGCGGACAGTGGACCTCTTCTCTGAGCATTAACTGAAAGAACCGACTGCTGCCGCCAGTGAGTCAGGGGACCAGGGTGCTTTTCTACCTGAGCGCATGGATTCTCTACTTGTCTTTATCCCCACCCTCCCGGGGGCCCTCCCAGATTGTCTTCCTATGTACACTCACAGCAAACTGCAGGAGTCTTAGAGCTGTCCAGGGGAGGCACAGGACCACGTAGCAGCTCCACCAGGCCGGCTGCCGTGGGACCCTGGTATCCTCTTTGCAATGCAATGTTTCAAGAAAGCAAACAGCAATGCACACATTGACATTAGTGATACTTCTATAAGGGCTTTGCCAACCTGGGATAATATGTGTATCTGATGGCTGCAAGAACAGGAGAGAATGTGAAAGAAAATAAAGGCTTGTATCAGTCCTTGAAGTATGTATTTTTCCTTTCCTGCTTCCTAACTGCCCAGAATCACTGGGAATTTGGCAGTATAAACATTTAATAAATTATTATTACTCATATGACAGAAATTAAATTAACTAATAAAGCATTCTGGCACCACTTATATAGTATGGATTTGAATTTAGTCAACAAATCATGATTAAATAAGCCATAGCTAATTCACCCTAATGGTCATGCTGTTTCCAAAATTTTAAGAAAACCTCATGTTTTATGAATAAAGACGATTTCCTTGAGATCTAAAGCTTTGGCATAAAAATATAATTTCAAAAAATCTTCTGTTGTTCAAAGGCTTTCAACTAGTTGACATTAGCAGTGACGTAAAACATTTGCAGTAGAAAGAGCTAGCCTGTTTTTGAGTTTCACACAAGTATCTTTCCTGTAACAACTGATCCATTTCGGATGGAAATTTCGGGTTTCTTTTTTAAGCTTTTAAACTTTAAACTCAAGCTAACTTTGAGACAGTATTTTTTTAAAATGGTTATTTTTGGAAAGGTTAATTGGTTTTTAGCTGACTGTTTGCACATCTTAAATATTGTTCATAGATATTGGCCACAAGTTACATTTCTATTTAGGAGTTCATAAATTTTTACTATCCTTCGAAGGCTTCCAAGGTTTGTTGAGTATACATTTTAATACCCAAGACTTGAAAATGAAAATTTCATATCCTCTGGTTGGAAGCTACACCAGCAGCATTATCTGCACCCCAGATTGCTGGATGTTTGCCTGTTTCATAGGTGTCGGGTACAAGGCAGATCACCTGTGAAATGACCCTTATGATGTCACTTCCCCCACAGATGCTCATGAACCATTCATCTAGTAAACTGAAAAAATAATCTTCGCTATCAAACTGCTTGTTGTTCATTTTTTAAAAAGGCTTAAATAGATGAAGAACCAAGGAACCAATTCAATCAAGAATTTGAAATGTGACAGAAGAAAAATCAAACTTACATAATATGACAATACCTTTATTAGCACCAACCAAAAGCACAAATATATATGCAAATATCTGGGTTGTCCAGAAATGCCCCCCTGCCAGAGACCTCTGTCCATGGGTGAGGTGATAAAAAAGTCAATATGGCAACTACTTTAATCATGCCATCTCAAGTACCATTTTGATTTTTTTTATCCTCCCTGTAATTCCTTATTATTGGGTTTTCTCTTTCAACACAATGATCATTTTTCTTAAGACTGACAAAACCTATTCCATTTCAAAAACAGAGACTATGTTTGCACTCATATTTGATAAAGCCCCAGACATGAACAATTTAGAAGTATTTCCTTCAGAGAAACATCTTTATAATTCCTCTGGAGTTTCTGGCTTCCCTTTCAGCAGGTGTTTCTTCTGAGGGCCCTGAAACCGAAGCAGAAAAAAAGTAGTTGTCAAATTCTCAGACTGCTACAATTAAATGGATAAAACTGTATGCCAAGAGTTTGTGATGGATTTCTGTGGAAAAGTCTGCCTTCTGTATGTTCTAGACCTCTGCTGGGCTGCAAGATTTCAGCTGCAGCCTCTCCCTTAACTGGCAGCAAATATTTCATATTTTCCAGATCTCTGCTGCCCTCTGGGGGTGGTCTAACTTTTTGCAGTCCAGGTGTTGCAATTTTATTTCTTGGCCATCTTCAGAGTCAAGTTGCAGCAAGGCCCATCCTAAACTCTGCAAAACCACCTTTGAAATTCTAACTGCCAGGAGACGTTCTAACTGGAGAGATTTCCTGACAGAACAATGAATCGATGGAGTGAGAAGAGATTGGACAACCATTTGTCTGAAATGGTATAGTTTCCTGTTTGAGCAGTGGGTTGGACTAGAAGACCTCCAAGGTCCCTTCCAACTCTGTTATTCTAAATGTCAGTTAATGTGATGGCTCTGACTGAGCAGTTGGGGCATTTTAGTCTTCCAGATAGATATGAGAAGAAAGGTTCAACAATACAATAATGTCTGATTCATTTTTCTATGGTTTCATTCCACATTTCCAGGAAGAAAGAATAGTTGGGAGATTTTTCTCCATTTTAAAAAAGGAGATTAAATTTCAGTGAGTTTTGTGCTCGTTCAAGAACTTCTGCAGTAGCCTGAATGTTCTCCTGCTCAGTTTTTCTTGGTGAACCTGAGCATTAGCCACACGTGAAAGGGAAAACATTTCTCCTTCTTCATTTGTTTCGTATCACACCAGTTTATAAGGATTGTCTTATCATCACTTAGGGCTAAACTGCAGGATCAGTAAATGAGAATTGTGCAGAAGCCCTACCCAAGGCTTTTGTTTCCCTTTTTAAGAAAAATACTGCATGGTGGCCTATATTGGATTCTGACCAAAATGTCCAAGATGGTTGAAGAGAGGATGGTGAAAAAAGAGCCTTCCCCAGAGGGGAGGAAAGGAAGCAAAGACCAGCTCTGAAGCCCACAGGGGAATTGGTTGCCTCTCTATGTTCCCCCACACCTGCAGTGTCCAGCTACCGAGTGGGAAGAATCCTAACGTTTTCAAAAAATTTAATGTATTTTTACATGCAATTCTCTTCTGTCTTGGATTCCATATGGCAAAAAAAAATCCCCGGCAGAGGTAAACAAAAAGGTGAAGATGGCATCTGCGACTGTGTGGTCAAAGCCCCACCGTTTTTTATTTGTCTCACAACTTGAGTTTTTTGACCTGAAGCCCCCGCCCTGCTTGCCTAGGCTCTCTTCTCTCCTCTCCAGCACGACTCCAGGCCTGCTGAAAGGGGGAAAGCTAAGCAGTGGAGGTCCTCCTGGCGACAGATGAGCTGCCGGAGCCCACAAAGACAGATGCATATTTGGGCTGGCAGAAGGTTTTCCCCCAATGCTGATCTGCCCCAGCGGCTAGGAGGGGCCCATCCGGCAGAGGCCAGTGGCAGCTCAGGGTCCTGCTCCCTGTAAACTGGCCTGGGGGTTATATTGTACTTCCTGACCGACAACCTTTCTTGGTGGATCACTTTGATCCAGTTCTGCTGGGGTCAAAAGGGAGGCTCACTTTTGACAGCAAAGTGTTCACCTCGGAGAAGGAGGGTGGAGATGAGGCCTATGAAAGATCTTCCATGTTATTGTTTAGCAACAAAGAAAAGAATCTGAGGAGAACATTTCTTAAACCTTCAGAACCTTGATTGAAATCGTAATTGTTAGGACTGAACCTCACTGGGAACAGAAAACAGCCCTGTCTTAGAGCAATTTGTGAATGGAAACAGGCTTCCCTGCTGTCTTTAGAGCAAAAACTGCAAATAGAGGGATGTGTCTATTTCACTCGATAATTCAAGCTTTACTATATAATGAAAATAAATTTTAAAAAATTGCATTGGTTCCAGAATAATCTCACTCCGAACCTCACTGCTTCCTTTCTTAATTAAAAGGCTGGTTTCCAGCTACCAAAGGAAATAACCAGTTTGGATCGAATTCTGAAGTCAGTTTGGGATGCACCAGCAGAACACTTTCCACAGAACTCTTGGATGACCGAAACAAATCATGGTTTCATGTACAGAACTCCCCTCCCAGAGTTTGCTTGTCCAGCTTGGGAGGGGTATTTCCGAGCACAAACTCACCATGAAGGCCCGCTTCTCGTGGGCAGTCTGGAAGCGACCGTGGCCAAACTTGGAGGTGGTGTCGATGAATTTCAGCTCCACGGCCTCCAGAGCTTTTCGGCTTGTGTGGACCAGAAGGGACTGGGGAGGCAGGAGGAAATGGTTACAGCAGAAATCCAGAGGAGGGGCAGAGCCCGGGAACTGGGGAGGGGAGAGGGGGGGGGCTTCTCCAGGCCACAGGTCCAAACGCTGTGGTCAAAATGTTGGGCTTGGACTGGGGAGACCCAGACACAGGTTCCTCCTCAGCCCTGGAAGCTCAGTGTGGGTCTCTGGGCCAGACCCATTTTCTCAGCTCAGGGTGGCAATGAAGTGAAGGGGGATCCCCATTTCTGCTGCCTTGATCTCTCCGAGAAAGGATATAAGTGCAGTAAGTGCACATGGCCTGGGAGTTCATCGGCAGAGGGCAGATACAAATCTATGAGGGAAATTTCCATGCCCCTCACTGACATTTAGGGATCAGAATGTATTTTAACTAATGCACAATCATTGCACATCATGGCAAGGTGGGTGGCAAACAAATTAAATGAATAAATAAAGATTGCAAAAGCCTTTCATAGGCGAAACGTGAGCCCAAAACTAGGTACAGTCTAGAGGGCCCAGATACTTGACTTTTATAACAACGAATACAACTATTTCTTAACCTCTTGTGTTTTTCCTGAGAAATTCAGGCCAGGACAGTTCTGTAGGGATTTCACTGCACTTCCCAGCCCATTTTGTGGTGATCCCTGCACAAGGCTCTGGCATGCCAGCAATGTGCTGCTCAGCCTCTCGCTGATTGCTTCCAGGTTTGCTGCCCTCCTCCCAAAGCAGCTGAAGTGCTCATTTACTCAGGCTGAATCCTCCCAGCCTCCCCCTCTGGAGAGCAGCAGAAACCCTTGGCACCTTGGATCGGTCAACCCCACAGACCAACCCTCCCCCCAAAGAACCACACTTGTCCTTCATCCTTGGACTCATCCACTCATTCCTTCGCGAAGCCTCAGTGAGGCCCTCACCTTCCTCAGGGTCAGCACCCGCTTCCTGGTACCCAACACACAGCCCTTCACCATCACAAAGTCATTGTTGACTTCTCCGTACTGAGGAAATCCACCCTGGAAGACAGAAAGGCAGAGAAGACATCAGGGCTGAGGGTGGTATTTATTCATTGATGAATAGCAGCCCTCACCAGAAGACACTTGGGAAGCATGTCATGGCATTCAAAAGAAACTTCTTTTGAAATTTCAGCATGCACAAAATGGCTGTCTTTGCAATAGAAACAGGGGGGAGGGGGAGTCTGAGAAAGAAATGGGAGTTTCAAGAAGCCATCCATGGACCGTGAAACCCAAAGTTATCAAAAGCAGGTGTCTGACAGAGAAGTGGACATAATAGAAAGAATGTGATTTGGCAATGTGAACATATGGTGGGTGGTATTATGAAAAGCTATTGTTAACTAATCAGATTTTCACATGGGAAAACTAGAGTTGTTTTTACTTCTTCAGTGCCAGGATGCATATTCAATAAAGATTATCTCTTACGGCACCTCAAGGCCATAGAATTTCTTCAATGTTGAATTCACCAGCTGGACGGTTGACACATGCACTCTCACTTCCCAAAAGCTAAATGAAACTGAGAGGTGATGGACAGTGTGGAAGAAAGAAGCCTTCACCGTACGGTGGGCCCTACTGACATGGAAACAATTCTTAGAGGGGAGTAAGGTCACCTTTGAAGTTTGGACTGATCACAAAAATTTAGAGGCACTCAGGACTCCCCGAAAACTTCCCCCAAGCAAGTTCAGTCGGCTCAATACTTCAATCGGTTTGACTTTACTTTGAAATACATCCTGGGGAGGGGAAAACTTCCTAGCTGATGCACTGTCTCGCTTGCCCCAATACAAAAGTTCCTGAGAGGAAGTGGTGAACCTTATTATCCCCATGAGGCAATTGGCAGCACAGGTGACCACCCAACAGCAGGGGGAAAGGAAGACCCCCCCCTTTCTGGTGATGCGTTCACGCAACAGACGAAACGGGTTGTGAACTGATGCGTAGTTTGGAGCACACTGGGGAGAACCAACACTGAGAGAGGAGTTGGCCTGGAAGGGGAACAAACTGTATGTTCTGGACAGCCTAAGACTACAAGTTCTACAGAGGAGTTACGATGCTAAGCAATCTGGCCACTTTGGGTTCTTAAAGACTTTGCATTAACTAAATGACCATTCTGGTAGCCAGAGATGAAGAAGGACATAGAAAGCTATGTGAAAAGCTGTGCTGTATGTACTGCCATGAAGCGGAGGCCAGGGAAGAGTCCGGGATTACTGCAACAAGTGGCTAGCCAGACCCGACCTTGGGAAGAAATAGCCATGGACTTTAAAGTCGAACTTCCAGAGACTGGGGGAAGCATGGAACAAAGCCCACTTTGTTCCATGCTCCAGCCTCCCATCAGCCTAGGGACTAGCCAAGATGTTTTTGCAGCATATTTACTGGCTGCACAGAGTGCCCAAATGCATAATCTCAGACAGAGGGGTCTAATTCATGGCAAAGTTTTGGCGTGAATTCATAAGGCTGAAAGGGTCCTCCCAGAGTCTCAACTCAGCTTTTCATCCAAGTACGAATGGGGCTGCAGAACGAACTAACGTAATGGTGGAACAGTACCTTCAGAATACCGGCAGAACTCTTGCCATACAATAACACAGTACACAGGGCTTACCCCTTTTAAAATTGCCAGGGGTTGGAATTCATGCCAATGCCAGAATGCCCAAGAGAAAACCCCTCCTCAGTAACACTGACTGAATGGGTGGATTCCATCAAGAGCACCTGGAGTAATATGAAGAAAGCTCTAGATCAGGCAACAGAGAGTCAGAAGAAACAGGCAGACAAGAAATGAGCTCCCCAAGGAATATTTCATGTGGGAGATAAAATGTATCTGTCTACCAAATACCTGAAATTAAGAATCCTCTGCAAGAAACTAGGTCTCAAATACATAGAACCTTTCCCGATTGTAAAAGTAATCAACCCAGTCACGGTAGAATTGAAACTGTCTAGAATATTGGGTAAAATGCACCCGGTATTCCATTGCAGTTTGCTGAAACCGGCCAGGGGTTCTAGGCTGAGGCCAGGCAAAAAGGAAGCACCGGGTCCAATAATAGTGGAGGGAAAGAGGCATTACGAGGTTAAACAAATCCTGGATTTCTAGGGTCCATAAGGGGAAGCTACAGTATCTAGTACAATGGAGGGGTTACCCAATAGAAGAAGTGACATGGGTTAAGCTTCATAACATCAGAGCAGAGTGGTGAATCAATAGGTTCCATGCCAAGTATCCACAGAAACTAGGGGCTTCCAAAGTAAGAAAGTGAGGGAGAAGTAACTTAATGTGTGTTTATTGTTTTCCAGGCTCCTTCCAGTTTTTAGGAGGGTCCGCCTGTCAAATTTTGAAGCCCAGTCTTGCTGATGCGACAGACATTGCTTCTCAGCTTGCCAACAAACTCGGGGGGACGGGAGAAGTTTGGAATGCAGACTTCAAAGATTAAGAAAGCAGACTGTGGGAACCAAGGGCAGTGGCCAGGTGTCTGGCTAGACCCAGAGATGCTCTCTCATAACAATATTTTCCAACTTGATTGGGCAACGTGACCTGAGCCAGAGGGAGGAAGAAGAAGTTAATGCTTTTACTATAGAGGTTTGGGAACGGTCCTGCCAGAGCTGGTTTTACTTTCATATGTGCTGAAATGGTGTACTCAATAAAGCTTTGCATTAAGAGCCTGGAAAGTCTCGAAGATGTTTGCTGGTTGGGTTCGTCAATCAGAACCTTGACAGGTAGATTTAAAAGGTCAAGGCAAAAGCCTCAATCGTACAGTTGAAGCCTTACCCCTTTTTACCATGTGATGCATGCATGGCATAAGTGAAAACTGGGGTCGGCCTTCGACTGTGTGGTCATGACCACTATTTTGACTGTTTTGACCCCTTCCTGGTAGACAATCCTGAATTTCCTTTACACAAAACTGCCTAGAGCTGGGCTCAGTCCTCTGATCCATCTAACCTATCAAATCTGGATAGCTTTTCCCAGGAGCCACCATTTTCCAGCCTTGTCTCCAGCACAGAAGGGACTTTTCCATCTCTGCCCTCTTCAAGTGACCCAAGAAAGGGAAGCCCTGCATCTACACAGGGATCTCACCTGTGCACCTCCTGAGCTGAAATAATGGTCAGGACGTGGTCAAAGAAAATACCCTGGTGCTTCCAAAAGTTTTCCCACTGTTTTCAGAACAGCACTGGAATTCATTGGGGGGGGGATGGAGTTTGAAGACAAGATATTCCTTTAAAACATGGGTTTTCATCTTGATAAAAAGATGGTACGTGCAGAGAAGGGCTCATGATGAGACATCCAAAGGTTCATTCTCCAGTCAGAAGAACTAATCTTCCTTCTGGCCTCCTTACCAGTGGGGTGATGGCTTTCTCTGTTGGGTCATAATTGGTGGATGCATTGTTTCTGATCATTTTGCCATCTTCTACATGGATCCCACGGCCGATGCGATAAACCTAAAGGAAAGATTTGGCCAAAGTGACTTTCAACTTATCCAACTGGAGAATGAAGGCTGGCCAAGTCTACCTTGGTCACTGGTGCCTAAGCCCAGCCTGCTTTTGCACTCCCAATTCCGGCCTCAATCCTGTTCTTACAGGCCACATCAGCACAAAGGAGGCACCAGATGCTGCATCATCCCTGTCCCCGCCCCCTTCCTGCAAAAATCAGATTTGCTCTGAGCTGCTGAAAGCTGTGGCTTATGGACTCTCGAAGCAAAGGGCTCCTCTGAGTTGATGCCTGGAGACTTCAGCTTTCTAGGCAATAGAACACAAAAGCGATTTGCCCGTTTCAGGATGGTTTTCCAAAGCCACCGATAGCCTTTGCAAGCGCACTTTCAAAATATGGCATAACACAAAGGCTACCACTAATGTTGTCTGAATAAACTGTAGAAAGGAAAGCAAGAAAGAAAAAAGGTAGATTATATGGGACAGATATCTTTGGATTGCAAATATAGATTAGGTTTTATGTAATAAATAATGTAATGGATCATATTAAAAAGGGAGGCTTCAGTTATTACCCCTTTAATCGTTACATATCAGTTTTGTAGTGTTCACCTACAGAAGGCAAAGCAAAAATGGCATAAAGAAGCTCTCCTAAAATCTTGAACCTCATTTGTTTCTTGCTACTAGTTTCTTGGTAAAAACAGCCCCCCCCTCCCATCTTGCAGAAGATGCAGAATTAGAGGTGGTGTATTGCACGAGCTTTCCCAGAATTCTAAAGTGACTTCAGCAAGGAATGGGAAATTGCAGTCCTGCCATATCTGTAAAATGGGTCTAATCCTGAATTCTCTGCTCCCAGATGACCCTTGCCGTGTACTTGCTAAGCCTGATAGCTTCACACCTACCAGCCATATCTATCAAACAGCTGGTGGGTGAGGAGGAAAGATGGATCAGTGGGTTGCAGCTGTTGTTCCCAAAACACTCTGATTCTTCCAGAGGTGGGTGCACTTGGGGGCTGTTTGTGTGTTTGGGCTTCAAATGAGTTGTCAGGGGGAGGAGTCATACCTTCTTGTTGAGTTCTGTGCGGTGGTGGTAGCCCTTCTGGCCAGCCCGGGCAATCGAGTAGCCCACCCGGGCAGGGTGCCAGGCTCCGATGCAGGCGACCTTCCGCAGGCCTTTGTGAGTCTTCCTTGGGAGTTTCTTGGTATGCCACCGACTCGTCACCCCTGCAGGAAGGCAGCCTTGAGGTTACAGGCAGGACGGTGGACCTCTAAAGGTCTGAGGCAGGGGTGCATTACTGCATTGCTCCAGATGCAGCTGAACTGCCCTCCTTCACCATTAACCACACAGCTGGGGCTGCTGGAGTTTAATTATAGCTACCATACAGGTAGTCCTTGACTTACAACTGTAATTGGGGTGGGAACTACCATCACTGAGTGAGTTGTCCCCAGTTTGATGGCTCTTTTTGCTGCTGGCTATTAAGCAAATCACCATAGTCATTAAGTGAATTACATAGTTATTAACTGAATCTGGCTTCCCCTGTGGGCTTCCTCCATAGATTCTGCTTGTTGGAAGCTATCTGGGAAAGTCGCAAATGAGGATCACATGACCCTGGGACATGCAACTGTCATAATGCCAGTTGCCAAGATCTGAATTTTGATCATGTGGCAGCAGGGATGTGCAACTTGTTGTTAAGTCACTTTCTGCAATGCCGTTATTACTTTACACAGTCACTAAACGAATGGTTGTAAGCCAAGGACTATCTAGAAGGACAAAATAATCTAGTCTTCGGATGGAGAGGAAATGAATGAAGAATTAAAAGGAGAGTTTTAGAAAAGACAACTGAGAAAGTGAAAATCAGGAGAAATTCAAAACGCTTACAAGATTCCATTACTATGTTCTACCCTGCAATAAGAAAAAGCATCTCTGTAGTGTCAGACATTCCTCTTTCCTGACCTGGCCTTCTTTGATTGACGATCACAGGATCAACATCCCTTTATTAAAGAAGAAAAGGGGCTGAAAAAGAACAGGAGCAGTTTCACCAAACTGGGAATTATGGAAGCATGTTGTAGGCACTCTCACAAAATGGCTGCCCTGATTTTTATTTCCTTTATATCCCTATGCCAACAGTCCTGCCAGCTGCCACAAACTGGTTTGTTCCCCCCTTTCCCCAGAATGCTCTCTACCAACTGCCTTTTAATGGCAAGTTGACCACAACATGGGGTGCAGCCACTCACTAAAGGGGCTTAATAGTCTCCTGGCCCTCTTCTAAAATATTATTCCAGCAGAAAACATGGGATGCTCCAATCCAAGCTTAAACCAATGTTTCTCAACTTTGGCAGGTTGAAGATGTGTGGATTTCAACTCCCACAATTCTCCAGCCAGTCATTTTAAATTCTTAAAAAAATTTGAAGTGGGGTTGAGGAGGGAACCTATCAGGCCCCAGGGAAGGTGTGGACATCTCTGGTCAGAAATAAAGAAAAATCTACTTTTCCACATATCTTGAATGGCTTCTGGAGTCATTCATCTGGAATGCAGTCTGTAGTCAGACCATTTCCAATCAGCCTCTGATCCAAGAAGCTTCAGGGGTCCAGCTCTGCTGCCTCCTACCTTTCATCCCATGCCCTTTGGTGACTCCAATGACATCGATCATCTCATTCTGGCTGAAGACACTCTGCACGGCCACCTGCTTCTCCAGCTTCTCACGAGCCCAGTCAACTTTCTCTGCCACAGAGCCCCCATTGAGCTGGATCTCCATAATATGTGCTTTCTTCTGCCGCATTGGCAGGAGCTTCATCTGCAAACAAAAAAGCTCACAAATTGTACCTTGCAGCAGAGGTGGCAAAGGCTCGTGGTCAACACTTAGCTGGCCACAAAGGGAATGAGCAGGAGATCCAGCCTCTCAGAACCTTCCACCTGTTTGCAGAATTTGGCTATTGCAAAGGTTGGGACTTTGTGGCTGTCGTCTCATGACACACTTGAAAAGTTGTATGTGGGAATAGGTAACCTTAATTGTGTTTGGGATCAGGGAGCAGCATTTCATTTTGGGTTCATGTGCTCTCACTTGGCCAGCTGCATTGTGGGAATACCAATGTTCAGTGAAAAAGGGGACCTACTCAGTCCTCTGAAGAGAGAGTTGAGGCTATAGAAATTGGTGTCAAAGCAATAATATCCGATATTAACAGCGTTAATAGTGTTTCATTAGTCGGGACCATGACATCGGTTTGTAATGGAAAGTCTCCAATACAGAATTCACTGTCAGATGTTCCTTCACTGGCTGCAGGGAGAAATTTGGCCATCACTGCAAGCACCTCAAACCAAATCACAAGAGAGAAACCCTTCAGCAGATGCTCTCAAGCCTTAAAGAGGGCCGACATCCTCCTAAAGGTTAACACGCAATGCTCCAAGCACCACTCTTTGGAAGCAGGCCCTGCAGGCCCTACATCAGGGCTCTTCAAACTACGGCCCATGGGCCAGATGCAGCCCGCCTTGTCTTTTTATCCAGCCCGCCAGCGAACGTTGGTGGTAGAGTGCAGCACAGGACTTGCAGGGAGAGGGAACGAGCTAAAGAGGCGCAGCGCAGGACTTGCCTTGAGAGAGCCCTGCAGGAATTGCAGGGCTGCTGTGGCCAGACAAAAGCCCCAGGATCGGCACTTCCGGCACACCCAGAAGAGAAAGGAGGAGGCGGGCGGAGACAGAGGAGGCTATAAAAGGCAGTTTTGGCGGGAGAGGGAGAGAGAGAAAAGACACAGCCTTGGGAAGAGGCTGGAGTTGTACCAAAGAAAAAAGGGGGGGAGGAGAGAGCAGAGGAGATAAAACAGATCATCCAGTAGCCGATCTATAACTTTGTGTCAGCCATCTGTGCCAGGCAGGGCAGGCACACGAGTTGCAGCGAAAAACAGGCAAGAAACAGCTGGGGAGGAGTCACCCTCCACGAGGAATGAAGAAAGGCAGCATCAGCTGGAGATGACCAGCAATTGGCCCTCGCCCACTTCACACATGCAGCTCTGTGGGCTCCGGGGGAGGAGATGCCGCGAGCGGAGTGAGAGTTGGCATCTGCCGCCCAGCCCCTAGCCTGCCCGGTTTAGTTTGCTTTCACCCAGGACGCCACGCGCTGCTCGCTGCCTCCTGTGAGCACACCGAGGCAGGTTCAGCTTCTCGCCAGCTTTGCCTCGCCCGGCCCAGCTTCTCCGTGCTGTGAGGAAAGTGCAGCGCTGCCTGCCGAAACCGGGCAGGCTGGGGGCTGTGCAGCAGATGTCAACTCTCACTCCGCTCGCGGCGTCCCCTCCCCTAGAACCCACAGAGCCGGGTGTGTGAAGTGGGCGAGGGCCAATTGCTGGTCACCTCCAGCCGATGGTGCCTTTTTTCATTCCTCACAAAGGGTGACACTTCCCCAGCTGCATTTCTTGCCTGTTTTTCTCCCTCCCTCATCGCAAATATCTTCCCACCACTCTGCTCTTAAGGCTCTACGGCTCTTGTCCAGGAATTTACAGTGGCCTTTCAAGCCTTGGCCACTGGCAGGATGGCCGTGCTGGCAGCCTCTCCCCCTCCCCTTGTCCCTTCCTGGGCATGGAGGGAGGAAAGAAGGAGGTGGGAATGAGAAAGAGGGAGGAAGGAAGGAAGGAAGGAGATGAGAAGGAGGGAGGCAGGGAAGGAAGGAGGGGAGGGAGGGAGGGAGGGAGGAGATGGGAATGAGAAAGAGGGGAGCAGCGGAGGCAGGAGGGGAGGGGAGGGAGGGAGGAAGGAAGGAAGAAAGGAAGTTAGGAGATTGGAATGAAAGGGAAGGAGGGTGTGAGGGAAGTCCTGCCTTAGTCCTGCCCTGCTGCCCTTTTGCCATCCCCTTGCCCCCTCCTCCTGGCCTGTCCTGGTGGTCTCCCATCCTATCGCTAAGGATGCTTTGGTTATAATCATTAATTTTTTTCAAACTATAGTCTGGCCCCCCAACAGTCTGAGGGACAATCTATTGGCCTGTTTAAAAAGTTTGAGGACCTCTGCCCTACATGGTGGAGAGAGAAGGACTCTCAACTCTGCTGTTCTCCAGGGTCTCCCAACCTGGACCTCTCATGGATAACCAGTAGGGGCTCTGAGGGGCTTCCTCGTGTTCCTCCTGCACCTCCCTCTCCTTTGATGAAGTATGGCAGAGATGAGGGCTCTCTAACCTGGAACAAAAGAGATCAGGAGGCACAAAAGTGGTCTATGAAATCACACCTAGCTAAGAGAAGGGGGGAGAGATGCTTTTCTCTGTCTCTTGCAATGTTACATTCACTGTCATCTCATGAACATCAGGGTAGCGAGATTTAGGACTACAAGAAAATGAGTCCTATTTCTCCATTTCCTCAGGAATCATCCAATTATTGCTGTGCCAGATTAATAGTAATGGGGACAGGCTTGTATCACTTCAATTATAGGGATATCAAGCAGTGGATTTGTGAGGGTCCAGAAAAGAGCAAAACTATTACTAGAAACCAATATGGGTTTGCTAAAAACAGATCATGTCAGACAAACCTTGTTTGTTGTTTGTTGCCTTGTTTGCTAAAGTAACTAAATTGGTGGACAGGGAAATACTGTGGACATAGTTTACTTAGACTTCAGTAAGGCATTATACAAGGTAGACCACAGCCTACCCCTTAATAAGATTGAACAATGTAGGATAGAGAGTTTCACCACCAGATGGATTCCTAACTGGCTGACCAACTGCACTCAGCATGTAGTCCTCAATGGAACTACATCTAAATGGAAAGGAGCGTGCAGTGGGGAACCACAACTTCTGTCTTCAGCCTAGTACTCTTCAGTATCTTCATAAATGATTTTGGATGAGGGAATAGAAGGGGAACTCATCAAATTTGTAGACAACACCAAGCTGGTGGGAATAGCCAACAGTTTAGAAGAAAGGCTCAAGATCCAGAAGTATCTTGACAGCCTTGAATACTGGGAAAAGTACGGTTTTACACTTAGGCAAGAAAAACCAAATGCACAGGTATAGAATAGGTGGTATGTGACTCAACAGCATCTAAGTGTCCAAGTGGACAACCACTTAGGTATGAGCCAGCAGTGTGCTGCAGCCACCAAAAAACCCAACACAGTCCTAGGCTGCATCAACAGAGGGATAGTATCAAGATCACAGGAAGTGTTAGTATTGCTTTATACTGCACTGGTAAGGCCACAGTTGGAATATTGCATCCAGTTCTGGTCACCATGATATAAAAAAGATATTGAGACTCTAGAAAGAATGCAGAAAATAGCAACAAAGAAAAACAAACAAGCAAAAAGTCTGGAGGCTAAACCATACAATGAATGGTTGCTGAAACTAGATATGTCTAGTCTAGTGAAGAGAAGGACCAGGGATGACATGATAGCAGTCTTCCAATATTTGAGGGGCTGCCACAGAGAAATGGCAGTCAGCCTATTCTCCAAAACACCTAGAGCTGGACAAGGAGTAATGAGTAGAAGATGATTATAGAGAGATCAAATCTAGAATTAAGGAGAAATTTCCCGTAAGAGAGAACAGTTAATCAGTGGAGCAGCTTGCCTCCAGAAGTTGTGGGTGCTTCTTCAAGAAGAAATTGGACAATCATTTGTCTGGAATGGTATTGGATCTCCTGCTTGAGTAGCAGGTTGGACTGGAAGACCTCCAAGGTCCCTTCCAACCCCGTTATCCTATGTTCTGTGTACTATGTGAGGCTGCTATGAAGATGCTGTAATGAGGAAATTGCTTAAATTAGAATGGTGCGATTTCTTGCCATCAGTTGTTATCAGGTGGTTTGAAAAGAGACCTGGGTGAATACCTGGAGGACCAGGCTCCCAAGGCCACTAAAACCGGGGCGCTTGTCCCTCCCCCACCTTGGCATCAGGCCTTCAAGGATGCTGTTGCATAGGGACAGCAAAGAGGGCTCCCACCTCCATTGTTCGCTTGGGGGTTTCCTCAATGCCTCCAGTGGGCCATTGTGTGACCCAAAAGGGGACTAGTGAGGCTGCCATCATTTGAAGGACTCCTGAAAGCAGCAGCAGCTTTTTTCAAACTGAGGCGGAAGCCCCACTCCCCACACCCCCACCCCCCACCCAAATGGCAGGCTGCTTTAGTGATTTACAGAACAGGGCTCTGTTCATGGGAGGTCTGGAGCTCTTCTTCAGCCAGGACCTAGACTTTGCAGTGCTAACCACAAATGACTGGATTCTCTGTTTTGCCTTCACTTACACACACTGTGTTTGTGCTTCTTAATCAAAACCAGAAGTGAGAGGGAGGGATAGCAACCTCAGCTGTCCTTCAGGGTAAAGAATTCAGTTCTGAAGATGAAACCCAGGTTGCACAACAGACAATGTCTGGCAGTGAAGTCTTTGTCCAATCAAGCAGAAACAACCGGCAACAAATCTTGAGTGAGTTTGACCAGCCAGTGGGCAAGACAACCCTCCTAGGACATGTGGAAAATGTTCACCTGGGTGTGCACAATGACCCGGATGATCTTGCAGTACTTCTTCATGGACACAAAGTCCTTCTCCAGCTGCTTCTTCCCAGCCTCATCTTGCCATTTCTTGCAGTACTTGGTGAATGCCTTCTTTTTGCTCTTGTGCCTGAAAAGAAAAGGCAGGGAAAATCAGCCAACAGATCCAAGATCAACTGGAATTATTCCGAACCAGTGAGGAGCCTGTCCTGATATTCACCGCCAGCCTCCCTAGCTTGAGAGCAGGAGAGCAAGAAGCCACTTGCGCCAGGGGGAACCTACCAGTCCACGGACAGGGGGGCTCAGCTTCAGGTTCTTCAGGGAAGGGCTGGAGCACCTCCCAGAAGGCCAAGTCCTATCAAAGCCTCCAGATGTTACAGTCAGGTAATACCCATCATTCTGAGGCTGGTTTATGAAAACATTGAACTGACATAGTTAACATGGAGGTGTACAATACAGGGGCTGTGCTCAACCAGTTAAATAACAAACCATTTTAGTGAAGTCTCACATGTGAGAATTCAGCTTTATTTTAATCATGCTGACTATATTTAAGAAAGTTACTGTTCCTCCTCCATCACAACTTGGAGCCACTCTTGGCTACCAAAGTCATACCAAAGGCTGAAGGAAAATACTTACAATCCTGCAGAACCCCTGGGTGTGTATTCATAATTGCATGTTTAGCCCACAAAGCATTTCCAAAGCACAGCTATGAGCCAGTGTTCTCCTGTTTAAGCAGGGCTTTCCCCTTGCTCACTCACGCTGACCCCCTCCTCACCAGTTCCTGTAGAAGCGTCTTCGGCATTCATCACTGATATGTTCTGCAAAGATGGTCTTGAAATTTCTCAGCCCCCTTGGTGTCTCGATATAGCCCACTAGCCCAACGACCACCAATGGCGGAGTTTCAATGACAGTGACAGCTTCCACTTCCTCTCGCTTAGAGATTTCTGGAGATTAAAGGGGGGAAAAGACTGAGGATGCGATCCAGGAAGGCTTCGTGGTGGGGCTCCAATATCCAACTAAGCCATAAGGTGGTTTCTTTTCCAAATCATTATTTATAGTTTTTTAGAAGGGGATATATAAAGCCTACCATTGTAGGCTGGGTTATGGCTAAATTGTTGCAAAAACCCAGCCAGTTGAGGTTTGTTCAATTAACAAAAAGCAATCACAGACAAGCACAATATTTATGCAGCTCACTGTGTTTCCTATTTGATATCCATTGGTGAGGGCCTCTTTCCACACCAGCATTCTCAAACCATGTACCCTCTGGACATGGGTGGCAGTCCTAACACTTTGGGAGAGGCTGGTTGGGGTGGAGTTTTCTAACAAAGAAAAGAATTCCACACACTAAGTCACATGGAAATGTCTACTATGAGTGTTTCCATTTTCCACAAGTATCAGATACTTCCATTCTGTTCTGTATCAGTCAGATCTTACCTCGAATGCTCTACCCTAGTCTGAGCACAATATTCTAGGAAGGACTGAAAGTGGAAGAGGTTAAAGGAAGGAATGAGGAAGAATAGAGGCCTTAGGAAGAGCTAGATCAAAAGAACTGGGTATGTTTGGCCTTGAGAAGAGACCTGTGGTGGAATGCAGTCTGGATTCCCAGTAGGAAAGGGCTGCATTTCAAAGAGGCAGTGGAGCACGGAAAGTTTGGTCAGGGGGGGGAAAGAGGATTAAAACAGCTCCCCCCTCAACGATTTCCAAAGTATATCCATAGTGATACAAATAGTTGTTTTATTCTGGCAAGATTTCATCTGTAAGTGAAAAGCAATACAGGAAACTTCTCAGAAGTTAATTCCAGATGTCGTTTCTGGTTCTTGGGGCCTCACAAGAAGGCTGAAGCTAAGGATGGAACATGATAGCATTTTTCAAGTCCCTGGAGATCCTGCCAGCATGCAGGACGTGGAATAACCTGGGTCCCAGGGCAAAGACAGAGCTTTGAGTCCTGTATGTGGCTAGGAGAGCATCAGGAAACCTGGGTGGTAACTAGACAAAAAGACAAAAGAGAACAACAGCAAACCACTTCCCTAAGTACATGGATGTAACCAGGAGTTGAACTTACTGTGTGGAGGAGGAGGAGGAGGAACAACTTGATATTAAATTTGAAAATGAACTCCTACAAGAAAGAGTAGCTTATACCTAAGGAAATACCTAACAGAGGAACTAATACCCAAGGAAACAGTGATCTGCCCTTCTCTGGATGAGTTCAAGTAGAAGCCTGATTGTGGGCCACTTGTCAGGCCTGCTCCTGATTTGCACGGGCTTGGTGGCCACTGTAGCCCCTTCCAGTTGCTGAGGTCTATGAAACTTTCTAAGTGAGGAATAGAATTAAACAAACTTGGCACATACTTAGTCCTGATCTATGAAGTTCCCGCAGGATGTGAGTCATGCCAGCTTTATAGCCCAGGAAGGCGGTCAGGTGGACTGGTTTGCTGGGATCATCCTTGGGCCAACTCTTCACTTTTCCTCGATGTCGGCGGCTCCTCTTATGAGGAAGGAAACCCAAGTGGCCGTGCCTGGGAGCTGAAAACTTCCGATGAGACTGGAAAGGTGGGGGGAGTTGGTGGGAAGAACAACTAGTTACTTCTGTGATCTTGCAAAGATCATGAAAACCTCGTCAGAGAAGGCAGGAAGTAAAAGTCCCAACACATCTGGAGCAGAATGGCATAAAAAAAAAATAGAGCAACTTGGATTCTCCCTAACTCAACTCAGCAGACTCAGGCACAAAATGTGCAATGCTAGGCTTGAGACAACATATTAAGGGAGATGATATTCAACTAGACCAGGGGTAGGCAACCTTGGCTCTTTTATGACTCGTGGACTTCAACTCCCAGAATTCCTGAGCCAGCTATGCTGGCTCAGGAATTCTGGGAGTTGAAGTCCACGAGTCATAAAAGAGCCAAGGTTGCCTACCCCTGAACTAGACCAAGCATCTCTTTCTAATTCCTTTGCCCTCTTTAGACCCACCAAATATTTAAGCCAAATTATAATCTCCAAATACAACAAGGCATTCTGGCTGGATCTATAGAGGTTTGAGAAGGGAGATAAAAGGATCAAAGTTTTGCCCAGATGACAGATGGGCTACTGAAACCGTAAGCCACATTTTATTATTTGTTCTTTGTTGCTACACGTTTAGAGTTGGTAGCCCCGCACTTGAACAACCTCCCTAGTTGTCCCAACTAGTTCTGTTTACAATTTTTACTTTTAGATAGACGTGATTCTGTTACTTTCAATATAGTAAATTTTATATGTAAAATGCATAGCAATATGCCTAATTTATTTTATGATATTTTCTTTCATATATGTAACCAATTTATAGTATAAAATTTTGTTATATATTTGTTATTGAATGCACTAGAGATACTATTCCATTCCAGATAGAATAAAGTCTGCTCCAGATGGGAAATCCTCTATTTTTTAACTTTAATAGTTCTCACAACAAAGGAAGGGGTTTCATACTAAGCAAGCAAGCAAGTTCAGCAAAACTTACTGAATCCCCCCTCCCCCCCCGGCTCAAGTTACAAATGTCTAAACTATGGCGTCAAATATTACTTTGTTAGTTGCTACTCTAAGAACTGGGACAGTCCAGATCTTAACAGGCTGTGCAGCCAATTCTGCCTGTGACTTGCATCCACACCAGAGGCCCCTTTCCTCTCTCCCAATGAGATTCCCACTTGGAGGGGTTTATGAAATACTTTAAACAAAGATGACCAGATGGCTCCAGAACATTTCAATAATTTTGTATATTATTTCCAAGATGCTGTGTTCCTCCCCCCTCCCCCTGCTTAAACTGTGAACAACAGAGCCTTGCAGCAGAATAACAGAGTTGGAAGGGGCCTTGGAGATCATCTAGTCCAGTGGTGGTGAACCTATGGCACGCGTGCCAGAGGCGGCACTCAGAACCCTCTCTATGGGCACACGTGCCGTCGTTCCAGCCCCGCCTCCCCGCACGGCCCCCTCCTTACCAGCAGCCCCCCCGGAGGAGAGTCGCCCCCAAGTGCAGCCCACGCGGAGCAGCGCAGCCAAGGACATGGCAGCTGGACAGCGGAGACAAGACTCCACTCTCGCGCCCCATTGCACGCAGTTGATGCTGTGGGGCACGGGTGGATGGTGTGGCCGCCATGGCGCTGCTGGGCCGCCTGGGCAATCTGGCAATCTGGTGGGCCATGGAGGCAGTGAGTGGCCCAGAGGGTGGGCGGGTGCGGGGCGGGTGGAACGGAGGAGGGGGGTGGGGCCGAGTTTTGGGCACTCGGTCTCTAAAAGGTTCACCATCACTGATCTAGTCCAACCCCCTGCTCAAGCAGGAAATATATGCCATTCTGGATAAATGTTTATCCAATCTCTTCTTAAAAACCTCCAGTAAATAAAGCACCCACAACTTCTGGAGGGAAGCCGTTCCACCAACTGATTGTTCTCACTGCCAGAAAATTTCTTCCTAGTTCTAGGAGTTCTTACTTTTCCTTTTGGTAACCAATCACATAAGGAGGAAGTAGAGAAAAAAGAAATAAAAAAAGAAAAACATAATGAAATAGAAAGTGATGGAAAGGATAGAAATCCCAGTTACAAAGTAGGAGATACAAGAAACATACCCGAGACCAATAAAGGACTTAAATGCCTATACACTAATGCTCAAAGTTTAGGGAAGAAGCAGGGTGAACTTGAAGTATTAGTACAAGAGGGCACGTACAATATAGTTGCCATTACTGAAACATGGTGGGATGAAACTGGAATGTATTGATGGAAGGATATAAACTATTCAAAAGAAACAGACCCAACAAAAGAGGAGGTGGAGTTGCATTATACATAAAAGATCACTACATCTCTACAGAAATAAACAAAACCAAGGATGAAAACCTCCTAGAATCCATATGGATTAATATAAAAGGAAAAAAGAATGACATTGCTATAGGAGTATATTACAGGCCACCCAGCCAAGCAGAAGAAATAGATAAACTCTTTGCTAATCAATTAACAAATGTATGTAGGAAACATACCACAGTAGTAATGGGAGACTTTAATTACCCTGATATCAACTGGGAGACAAATTCTGCAGCAAGTGGGAGATCAAACAGATTCCTAACCAACTTAGCTGACAACTTTCTCACCCAAAAGGTAGAAAAGGGAAGTAGAGAAAAAGCTATACTGGACCTAATAGAGAAGAAGCGATAGAAGGAGTTGAAATTGCCGGAATCTTGGGCAAGAGTGATCACGTCATACCGGAATTCTATATAATGCAAACACAAGCAATAGAATATAATCCAACCAGTGCCCTAAACTTTAAAAGAGCTGAGTTTAACAAACTCAGGAAGAGTCTAAGCAAAATTTCATGGATAAAAATCCCAAAGGGGAAAACAACTCAAGAAGCATGGGAAACACTGAAAAATACAGTCATAAAAGCCCAGTCCAACACAATACCACTAAAAAAGAAAAACAAGAAATCCAAGAATAAAACCAACATAGTTGCAGAAAGATCTCTCTGATAAACTGAAAGACAAAAAGGATAAGTACAAAAAATGGAAAGAGGGACACATAACTAAGGCAGAATATCAGCAGATAGCCTGAATCTGCAAAGATGAAGTCAGGAAAGCAAAGGCTCAGAATGAACAAAGACTTGCAACAAAAGTCAAAGATAATTTAAAAAGTTTCTTTCAACATATTAATAACAAAAAAAAGTCAAGGAAACAGTTGGTCCACTAAAGAGAGAAGATGGCAAAGAAGTAATAGGCAGTAGAGAAAGCAGAACTGCTTAACTCATTCTTTGCATCAGTCTTCACGCAAAAAGAAACTATAGCCCAACCTACCAAAAACATAACTGTAAAAGACAGACTAGAAATAAAAATTAAAATAAGCAAGAAGAGAATACCTGTCTGACCTTGATGAATATAAATCGCCTGATGGATTCCCATCTTCAAAAAAGGGGGAAAAAACCAGACCCAGGAAACTATAGACCAATTGACCTAATATCAATATATGGGAAGATACTGGGAAAAATATTTTTTAAAAAAGAGATCTGTGAACATCTAGAAACAAATAAAGTTATAACTAGTAGCCAGCACAGGTTTCTTAAAAACAGATCATGCCAAACCAATCTTATTTCATTCTTTGACAAAGTGACTAAATTAATAGAGCAGCGAAATGCTATGGACATAGTATATTTAAACTTCAGCAAGGCATTTGATAAACTAGACTACAACCTACTTCTTGGTAAGCTAAAAAAATGTGGGATAGACAGCATCACCACCAGATGGATTTGTAGCTGGCTGACAAACCGTACACAACGAGTAGTCCTTAATTGTACTACATCTACATGGAGGGAAGTAAGCAGTGGGGTGCCACAAGGTTCTGTCTTAGGCCCAGTACTCTTCAATATCTTTATAAATGACTTAGATGAGGGTGTGGGAAGTTAACCCAGAGAAGGAAATATTAAAAAGGCAGGAAAAAAATATTGTTCACCAAAAGGATTTTTAAAAGCATTTTTTTGAAAAGCAGAAACCAAACCTGGCCTCATCTCCTTGCCCATGGCAGTAGCTGGTCTTATACATATGCAGATGTGGAACCATCAGAAAGTTTGGAGCCAGGGATCTCAAGACAAAAGAAGCTCTTAAGAGTCATTAGCCCCATCACCTGGGAAGCAGGATATGTTAATGGGATTAAACCACAGATATCAAGGCCTAGAAAAACACTCAGAAATAGCCTCAAAGTTCATGCCACAGGAACAGGAAACTTCCAGGCAGGGCTAGAGGGTATAAAAAGACCGTCTGCCCATGTGTTCACTCTTTTTTTCTTCTCCTCTGCTGCTTATCTGTCTTCTGCAATAAACTGTAACCTTCTTCCCAAAGCAGTCGCCATGTTTGCTTATTTATTCCCGGCTTGGATGAACCAGGATGAAGACTTACCTTCTAACAATTTGGCGACCCAGATGGGACTCCAAGCTAACCTCTCCAATGGACTGAGACTGGTAAGCCCCCCCTTGTGTCTGTAGATGGGCTCCCCAGGCCTTGTCCATTTGGAGCCAGGGTAGTAAAGGGAGTTTTGGGTTTGAGCTCAAGGGCTGCTTTGGAAAGAAGGTGAAGGTGAGTACCTCTAAATTTTAACTTTAAAGCCCAGGGGAACAAAGAAAATGTGTGTATGTCTGTGTGTGTGAGTGAGAAGATCCTTTTTTTCCTAATCACAGTTGGATTTTGCTCCTTCTGGTCCTTCCTAGCCGCAGAAAGGATCTGTTTAATTGGCAGAACCTGGAAAGCATGGGGGTTGGTCAGAGCACAGAACCTTTTGTAGGGAAAAGGGAGAGGCTGTGAAAATGAAATGGAATGAATGAAAGAATTGGATTTGGGCAATTAGCTGGCAAGACCCT